TGCTGAGAGCGTTCAGGGTCATGCCTCTGGATATGGCCAGTAGGTCCCTGGGAACTCATCTAGGGTGACACCCATTCCCACCCACTGGAGCAGAGGCCAAATCCCGCCAGGGTGAGCCTTCAGGGGACCTCAGGGCACTATGGATAATAATCCAGTAGTCCACTCCACTGATTGTCCACCTGCTGCGTGTGGCTCTGTCCTGCGTCCCTGATCTCCCTGATCTCCGACAGCCCTGCAGCTGATGCTTTGGTTACCCGTCTTCCAGGAGAGGGAACTGAGGCTCAGCTAGGTTAAGGCACTTGTCCGAGCTCCAAGTGCTAGTAGAGGTGAGAGGCAGAGCTGTGACTGGGAAAGAGTGCGCCTCCTGGGGCTGAGGAGGAGGAGCCCCATCAGCGACCTTTCTCTGCCACTTGCCATTCTTTGCTGCTCTAATAAGCATGCCAGCACACCTGAGTTGCTGGAATTTGCAGCCCTGTAATTGCCAGCGGGGCTTGGCGGGTTTCCTGGGTGGAAACTACCTGTGGATCAGAGTCAGAGACAGCCTGCCAGCCTCTAGCCCCCAGGACTGCACCCACAGCCCACCTGCCCAGGGAGGGTCTGCAGAGCACCTTTAAGGTGGTCATTTTGCCCACTGCTCATGGCAACCCTGTTGGTAGGTATCATAAATATCACCATTTCACAGATGAGGAAACTGAGGTTCACAGAGGTGAAGTCATTTTCCTGGTGTCACACAGCCCCTGAGTGATAGGCAGGCAGAGATGCTGGAACAGTGGGACATTTCAGCTTTGTGTGCATCTCTGGGGACCTTGGTCCTTTTTCTGTGTTCAGCCGTTGAGGAAAGGGGTGTGAACTGAGACTCCATCCTGAGCCAGAGGCTTGGAGCTGGGGGCACTGGAGAGCTTGAGTCTGGGGAGCCCTTTCATGAACTGCGTGGCCTCCTGAGGCACTTGGCCTCCCTGAGCCTCAACAGTGACATGTGGAGCTGGCAACCTGTCCTGAAGACTCACTGTGAGCATGCCACCAGGCCTGACCCCATGGCGGTGCTTGACAGATGAAATCCAACATTCTCATTCAAGTCACGTTTCCCTTTTAGACCAGTGAAGATGTGGGGAGGGCTGGGGCAGGGGCAGAGGATGGTGTCCTGGGGACAGACCTGCACACAGAGCCTGTGGCAGGGCCAGAAGCACAGCCCAGCCCCGAGCTTGTTCCCCGGCTCCATCCTCAGGAGCTCGGCAGCTGCTCTGTGTAGGCCCCGAGGGAGCCCGGGGAACATGGTCTTGCCTGGGGGAGGCAGGAAACACCACAGCACGTACCTGAGTCACTGCTGCTGCTGCTGCTGTCATTCTAAACCCGGGAGTGAGCATGTCGCCATGTCTTGTGGAGGTGCCCCGTTGGGAGACCTTGGTTCAGAGGCTAAGGTCTCTAGGTCTCCTTCTGTTCCCTGCGCCATGAAAACCAAGGCAGGGAAGGCCTGGACTGGTCAGAGGTCATTGGAAAGTGCTGGAAGCCTGGCTTGTCCCGTGCAAGTGCATCAGTGCAGACCCAAGCCCCTCTGAAGGGCTTTGGTGACCTGGTGCTTGTCCTCCCTCTCTGCCCCCAGAGACTTGGTGACCAGGGAGAACCTCATTTCCCCTTTTGTGAACTAAAGAGGATGGACTTTGTAAGGCAGCATGTGCTTTAGGCATACAGTAGGTGCTTAAATGTTCTGGTGCAGCCTGTAAAAGAAAGGGCTTGAGGGTCAGCTGACGTGACTTTGAGGCCCCTGCATGGCCTCAGACCTTCATTGTGACTTGGACCAGATGTGGACCCTTCCTGCCCATCTGGTGTAACTTCCTCCTACCTACAGGTGGGGTTGGGGGACGGGACCGTGTTTCCCCAGGGCCACAGAGGGCCAGGAGACTGGCATGTGCCCACAAGAGCTGCAGGGGACCTTGGGTTAATGGGAGGATGCTGGAGGGTCTGGGAGAGGCCTCCTACCTTCAGCTCTGAGGCTGCAAAGATTCCTCCCAGTCTGTCTTCTCTGGACCAGAGCCTTCTCCTGGGAGGGAGGGAGGGAGGAGGGCAGGGGTCAGGTGGCAAGTGAGGCCCTGGATCTGCAGAGACTGTGCCTCTGGGGCCCCAGAGTCCCTGAGCAGCGTGCTCCCAGGGATCCCAGTTTGCTGGGGTGAGGGGGGAGCTGGTGACTCTTCTGGTCTCTGGAGAGTCCCTCAGCCTGCCACCTTCCCAGCTGGGCTGTGGGCGGAGTCCTTTCCCTTCCTTCACTTGCCCCACCCCCTCCCACAGACCTTGAGGCGCTCCTGCGGTTCTAGTCTGGGTGGGGAGGTGGCAGAGGCTCCGGGAAACTCGACAGCCAATTGATCCCTTCTCGGGAAGTTGAAAGTGGAGAGTCGTGTTTGAAGGTTTAGCTGAAATTAGGTCTCAGGGCTATTTTTTGTGAGATGGAGAAGGAAAAATGTCAGAGAGGGGAAGGCCCAGGGGGCTGTCAGGAGCTGCAGATGGACTCAGTACCAGGTTGATGGCAGGTGCTTCGGCAAGCAGGTCTTTGGTTCTTCTCAAGAACTCACTTTTACCAGGTGCTTGGTTCTGAGGCGTGACAGGTGTGCCTGGGGTGCTGCAGGAACCCAGAACAAGGGGTCTCTGCCTGGGGGGGAGGGAAAAGAATTCCTGCAGGAGGAATCTTTGAGGCTGGACTTTGAGGGATGTGTAGGAGTTTTTCAGGAACAAAAGGAGAAGAATATTTCAATTAGATGGATATCTAACTGAGCAGGAGCAAGCCAAGGGCCCTGCGTGAGGGTGATCGAGGTGTTGGATGGGTTGGGGGCATAAGGGAGAAGGCCTGGGGAGAGAAGTGAGGGGCTTTGGGGTGGGTACTAAAGCCTTTGCACTTCTCCAGAATGCAGGAGCCACAGGGCAAGGCTCCCGGTGAAGTCCTGCTAGCAGACTGAAGGGTGACCCCTGCCCAGCATGGAAAGGCGGTCAGAAACGATCTGTCCAATCCTCCTCACACCGAGGAGGCAATGAGGCTCAGAGAGGGGAAGGTCCTTTCCCAAGGTCACAGGGCCTGTCTGGGGCAGGGCCTGGAGCTGAGCCCAGGGCTCACCACTCCCCATCCTCACTGGACATCCGCCACCTGCTTCTGAGTGGGCCTTCCTCCCGGCTTCCATCACTTCCGGGCAGTGGGGGGCTTCCTGGAATAGCCCTTTGCAGGTCCCAGTGCCCTAGGAGGCCCCGATGCCTCCTCCTGCTCTTCGCACAACCCCATCTCCTGGCCCTGGACCCACAGCTTGTCGGGGGCTGCCTGTCAGAGGAGGGGTGACTTGCGGGACAGGAGAGCAGCTTTCTCTGTGGCTGGCACATTCCCCGGCAATGCCCCTTCTCCATGAAGGCAGCTCTGGGTTGCTCTCATGCAGGGAAACTGAGGCCCAGGGAGGGAAGGCGTGCCAGGTCCCCTTCGGGGGCTTCCTGCACCAGTCCGGACTGCCTCTGGCATCTCGGATGCACCACCCCTTGGGACACATGGACGCCTATGGCCGGGCAGCTGTGCTGAGCCCCAGGCTGAGGCCCCACACTAGGGGTCCCAGCACCCACTTTGTAGTGTGAGGAATTTGCCCACGAGACTCATGTCCCTTGCTCTGCTCTGTGCTAGGAGCTGGACTCTGCTGACCTGGTGTCTGGCAAGAGGTCAGCAGGTGAGAGTCGGTGGGAGAACGGGTCCCAGCACCCTTGGCCCCTCCAGCCCTGCCTTCCCTGGGACTTAACTGTTAGCAAGCTGTTCAGACCTGAAGGGACAGTCCCTGTGGCCCATCTGGGCCTGTGTTCTGTGGGAAGAGGCCCCTTTCTGTAGGGGAATGTAGGGGGTGGGGATGTTGTCACAGGCCACCAGATGCAGGAGCTGTCCAGGGTGGCCAGGGCAGGAGTGTGGGCCAGGGATATGGGAGCTTCCCTATTTGGAGCCAGGCCAGAGTCTGAGCCAGGCCAGAGGTGGCGCTGTGACATTTGGCAGGGTTAGGGGGTTACCCACCCCTCTGATAATCAGGAAGGTGGTTTTGTTAGCTCTGCTGTACGAGGCTCCTCTCCAAGGCTCTTGGAGGAGGGACAGGCCCAAGGTCATAAGACTGGCCAGTGGCAGAGCGGGGGCCTCAGGCAGCACCCCAGCCCCTGGGTCCTTCCTGGCTGTGAACTCACTCACTTTCCCTCAGCCCTCTCCACCTTCCTCCTTTCTTTCTTTCAATGAATTTTTAATCAGTGTCAGCGTGTGTCAGGGCYTGTGCTGGGCACTGAGCATACACGTAGGATGAAAATGTAGTTGCTCCCTGCAAAAATGTAGAGGGGTTGGCTGGGTTTATAATTTCCAGGCAGGGAGAGGAAAAGGATATTCCAGGCCGTCACGACAGCCCTTGTGAAGGTCAGGAGATGAGAAACATCAGGAGTAACTGAGAGCAGTTTGGGGGCTGAGGTGTGGAGAAATGGCTGGAATATAAGTGAGAGGAGACCCACGACAGTGAACAGAGTAAACAGAAGATGAGGCTGTAGTAACAGAAGCATGGAGTCCCCAAAGAAGGAGTTGAGATAAACCAGAGTACGTCAGAGCAGACCTGGGGTGCAGAATGTGCTTCACCCAGGAATATACCGAGCCAGCAGGACCTCCTTCAGTGGACAGAGACTGGAACTGGGGTGGCAGGTTCAGGATAGGTTCAAGCAGGTTGTTGGGAGCCCTTCCCACCCCAACACCTGGGCTTAGAATGTCCTTGCTGGGCCGGGGGGTTGAGGGCAGACGTGGGGGGAGAGCCCACTTCCAGGCACCCTGGAATCTCTCTTCTCATCCTGGGTGTGCAAGCTTGGCCCAGGAGGGTGAGGAAAGGGGAGGGAACAGGGAGCCCCCACACCCTCCTCTTCTGCCCTGGGGTCTTCAGGGCACCTCCTAGACCATCCTCCGTTTCCCAGCCCTGCCCTTCAAGGGCTCAGATAATCGGATCCTTGTCAACTTTATTCTGCACTAAGGGGCCCAGACAGGCTCAGGGCAGCGGGCAGGAGGTTGTGGGGGCTCTGCCTTCCACTCTTCACTCGCTCTCTGAGCCCCAGCTTCCTCCAGCAGGATTCGAATCTTGACTACTGTCCCCTCTGTGATTCAGGCAAGTTGCCCCGACTCTGAGCCTCTCTTTCCCCATCTATAAACGAACACCGGAGCCATGAGCACTCAGTACCCGGCACAGGGGAGGCACAATCCCTTGCTTGCACAGGGGCGCACCCCTGCCCAGTACTGCCCCGGAGCTCCAGGGAACCTGAACACCCCCATCTTCACCGGCTGCCCCTCAGCACCATGCCCCCCCAAGAGCTTGTAGGCTAAGCTGTGGCTCCAGGAGGTGGAGAGAGGTGGGGAGTGAGGGCCTCACTGACCAGAGACCACAGAGTTCTCARATGGCCAGTCCTGATGGACAGAACTGGAGGTGCCTATGCAGGGTGTTTTCCTGCCAGTTGGGGGCAGCAGAGGGCAGCGAGTGGCTGCCTGGGTGGCTACTCCCAGTGATGTCCTGGGGGTTTGTGTGCCAGCCCAGGGAGCCTGAGAGCTGCAGAGCTGCAGAGCTACCTGCTAGGTGGTGGGATCCGCTTCAGTCAGGGAGCACCCCATCAGCCTTCCACTGCTGGGCCTGGCAGCAGGGGTGGCCGAGCCAGCCAGGCCTGGGTCGACCAGAGAGCTGGAATGTTGAAAGGAGACCGTGGTCAGGGACATTGGAGGGGAAGGTTTGGGATGAAGGTAGCCTCCCATGAGGAAGGGCACAGGCGGAGGTGGCCAGAGCGCTGTGGTCACCAGTGGATACTCAGCCACTGCCACCCTTTGACAATTGACAGGCAGCTTGTTCCAGCCTTACTACTGGTTTGGGAGGGAGCCAGGTGGGCATTCTGGGAGAGGTGGGGTGGTGGTCAGAGCCTGGGCCTGCTGGCCCGGCTGGAACCCGTCTCTACTACTCTTTGCTTCTCTGTAGGGGGGATCCTGAAGCCTGTTTTGCCCAGGCCCAGGGCAGGCGCTGGGCACTCCTAGGTCTTGTCTCATTTCATCCTTACAACGGGAGGCAGATCACAGGCACCCCACTTCCCAAAGGTGGCAGAATGGTGGGAGACGGAGAGGGAAGAACTGGCCGAGGCTTGCTCAGCTCCGAGCCTGGATGTGGAAGTCCTCACAGAGCCTGGCAGCCGCCCCCTGCCCAGTCTTTGCTAGCCAGTGCTGTTATCCTGTCCTTCTTACAGATAAGGACGCTGAAGCCCAGAGAGGGAGATGTGTGGTTCCAGGTCACACAGACAGAGAGCAGACAGAGCTGGTGTTTGAATGTGGGCCTCCCTTCTCCCTGCCTTACTTTGTCCTGTTCTGCATCCCACAGGCCTGGTTCGATGGTTAGACACTGGGCAGACACCCTGGGGTAGAGAGAAATACTCCTCTCTTCCCCTTCCCTGTGGCCCTGCAGTCCCTCCCCCCTTCTCCACCCTCTTGCCTGGAACCAGGAGCATGGATGTTGGAGGGCAAGGCTCAGATGCCTTCGTCCCTCCCCACGCTAGGAAGATAAAGTGATCAAGTGGCATTTGGTTGGGATTGCAGACATAATTATATCTGAGCTCTCCGGTGGGAATTGTTTCCAAAGCCAGGAAGCCCTCTGTGGAGGTGGCAGCAGTGACATCTGTTTTGACACAAGTCTTCACGTCAGGATGAGTGACTTTTCCTGTGGAATTGCTTAAAGAACATTTAAAATGAGCCACGGTGGTTACTTCTCTGCCCCGGTGCCGGAGACGGCCCCTAGTCATGGGGGGATCTGGTTCCCCAGCCTGGCATTCAAGGACCCACCGTCTGTCCTAGCCCCTGTGCCTTGGATCCGGCTGGTCCTTGGGCCACAGGTCCCTCTTGGCCATCCTGGGCTCCCTCGCTCCCCTGTGACACCCTCACCTGGGCAAGAGTCCCCTCCCCAGTCTCCAGAACAACTCTGCCCGCACAACCTCTCTCAAGGACTCTGTCACTTAACGATCCACCACCACGTGTCCCTCTCCCATCAGCCCAGCCCGTGGTGACCTTCTCGAGGGCAGAGGCTGTTTCTGATTCATCTGAGCCCTTAGCACTGGGGCAAGGCCTGACCCTGGTGGGCACTGGAGGGGCTGGTGGAAGTTAATGGGTTAAATGGAGTGAGTGGGCTGAGCAGGGAAGAGAGGTCAGGAAAAGTCACCACCCCACCACAGAACCCCAGGGAGACACCGCCCAGGCCTGGACACTGACCTTGACCCTGCACCGGGGGTTCCCATGAGCCTTTGGAGGCCTGGACTTCCCCTGGGAGCTTGGCCTGACAACGGGAGGACAGTGGCCTGCAAGGTCCTCTCCTGACGTGGGTCTGGTGTCCCTGGTGTGGACCGCTCACTCACTCAGGGATTTAAGGGACCTTCGCCACCCTCCTCCCAAGGCCAGGAGCGCCTGGGGGTCTGCTGTTCCCATTGGCTCTTCATCCAGGGATAATCAGATAACACCTCTTCCGGCTTGGCTGGCCTGGGGCTGGCCTAGGCTGCTGGATGCCTGGGAGGGCAAGGCAGGGTCATCTACCATTAGCACACCTCCATTGGGCAAGCTGTTGTCCCCAGAAGGTCCCTGTCATTTGTTGTCACTTGCAAATGAGTCATCAGGGAGGCATGCCCAAGCTAGAAAGGATTTAGAGGTCAGCTAGACCAATCTCCTCGCTGTACTGCCCAGGGCCTCGGGGTCTCTAGTAGAATCACGTAGGAAGCACGGCTCTGGAGCAGACCACCTGGATTGAACCCAGCTGCTGCTTCCTGGCTGTGTGGCCCTGTGCAAGTTGCCTAAGCCCTTTCTGAGCCTTGGCTCGCTCATCTGCACACTGGGTTTTGAGAATTAAACAACAAAAGAAAATTCACATAAAGCTCTAATACATTGCCAGAAGTAAGCGTCAGGATAACATGGACTCACATGGACTCATTCTTGTTAGGGTGTTGGAATAGCTCTCACTGTCATCAATAGCAGTGCTGGGTTTGGACCTGTGTCCTTGACCCTGAGCGTGGTCTAACCTCTGGGGATCAGAGGGCACAGGATAGGGAGCAAGCACTGAAGTCAGTGAGTCTCTCAGGAAGACTGGCCTGGGAGTGGGACCTTAGCAACAGGGCCTGGCGCAGTGCAGAGAGAGAAAGAGCCAGGAGAGCCCCCGCTGCAGGGGTGAGTCCCCCTGAGGGAGTGGGCGGGCTTCCCTGTCCCCAACTGACTCCTAGGCCAGGGCTAGCCCAGACCTTGCAGAGCTGATGAGGTGCTTGTGGCCCTCCAAACCTCTGAGGGGCTTATTACCCCGAGGCAAGTGCCGGCTGATGGAGGACTGATTTATGGAACAGTGAGTCACACCCTGGCCCTCCTGGCCGAGACCTCAGGAGTACATTGACCACCCCCCCCCCCCAAATCCCGGGCCCTGGCAGGCCACTGGGAGGGGTTGCTGCTGTCCTCCCCTGCCCCTCACACCCTCCGCCCCTCGAGTGACTGGGCTCCACTCTCCTTCCCCTCCAGACTCCTGGGTTCCTGAGGGCCCCCTTGCCTTGGGTGTGCCCCACCCTTGGGAAGGAGGTGGTGGGCCCAGGCTGGGACGCGGCGTGTCACTTGGAAGCCCTACGATTACTCCAGGGCCTCCCAGGCAGCCAGACTCAGCCCTGCCTCCCCGAAGCCTGTGCCTGAGCTGCGACTGGGCTCGGGTCCCCTCTGCCAGGCTGTCCTGCCCCTGCTCCTCTGGGCAGGGGCACCTGCTGTCTCCCCCTCTGTTTCTAAACTGCCCTCCAGAGCCGCCGCCTCCACCATCCCGTTCAGATGGCTCCAAAGTGGGATCCTTTAAAGGGCCTCTCCGAGCCCTTTCTCCTTTTTCTTTTGTCATAAACACGTCTTAATTCATTCAGGAAATATTTAGGAAATATCTGCCACCCTGCCATGGGCTGCCATGGTCCTTCTCTGGGGCTCTTACAGCCCAGAGGGGGTGGGGACGCTAAGCGAATTCATGGATAATCACAACCACGATGAGCTGGCAGAGAGACCTGGCCTGGCCCAAGGGTACTGGGGAGACCCAGCCAGGGGAGGGACCTGAGGGTGAGCAAAGCCCGTGGCGCAAGGGGCCCTCTGGCTTGTGGCGGGGCTGGTGGTCGTCACAGGGAAACGACAAAGTGACCATTTCAGCAGGCAGGACGGAGTGTGTGCCAGGAAGCGGGCTGCGGTCCTTCTGTGTCGCCTCATCACATCACCGCTGGGACTGCTTCTTGTCCCCATTTTACAGAAGAAGACAGCCATGGACACTCAGCCACTGGCCTAAGGTCCCAGAGCCACTGAGCAGTGGAGCCCTCTGCTCTCCCCTCTTCAGGGGGCAGAGGAGGCATTTGCCTTTTACCTGGGGATTCCTAGACATGGGGTGCCTCGGACCTCACAGGTGTGATCAGGGTGCGATGTCCGGGGTGTTGATGGGCAGGAGGAGACGTATTTGGGGCAGGGGTCTCCAGCTCTTGCMAGGCCACAGGACCCTGAAGGCTCTGGGCTCCCGGCTCCTTGACCTCTGGGCCACCTTCCCTTTCTGCTCTGGTGTGATGGGCCCATGTGTCCGTGTCGTGCTGACGCTGAGCGTGGTGTATACACGTGGGTTTGTTTCAGTGTGCTTGTTAACCTGTGTGTCTGTACGTGTGGGTGTGTGTGCTGTCCCATGTGCACATGGGTCTCCATGTCTGTGGCGCGGTTGTGTTGGGGAGCCCCGTATGCGTGCGTGAGCCTTTCTCTGCAGGCGGGCACACATGTGTGGATGCCTCTTCTTGAACTTGCGTGTTTCTGGCGTATGTGTTTCTCCATGTGAAGGTGTTTAGTTTTGGTTTTCTGGGCAGTGTTTCAGGGAAGAGTGACCCTCGAGTGTCCCAGCCCCTTCTTGGCCCTATTCACTGGTTCTCTTCGTTGAACCCAAGTCGTCCGGCTGCCTCTCAAGGCGAAGTGGAGCGTGGGGGTTTTTGTGTTTGATGGAGTGCTGGCACGGGGTGGGCAGGGTTCTGAGGGCCTAGGGGGGCATGTGAGTGGGTGGCCATCAGAAAGCACCAACTTAATCCAGCTTTAAAGGCCTTCCCTCCTTCACCTGTCACAATGTCTGGCATTCTGTCCTTTGTGAGTCATCCCCCAGTTGGGATCCTCTTTGATGGCACATACCTTCTGGGATAGGAGGCCAGGGATGGACAGCTTGCTAAGGGCAGGGCCCCAGCACCTGGGAAGAAGGACGGGAGAGTGGCCCATCTGAGGACACAAGCAAAGCCAGAGAATTCCTTGGTGTACTGTTGGCATCAAGCTCGGGAAAGCCAGGCAGCCTGGCCCTAGCCGCTGCTCTGACTAGAGAACCTCAAAGATCAGTACTGAGAAGGTCTGGATGATCACCCAACCCAGCCCCTTAGCTACAGGTGGGAAGGCGGAGGCCTGCAAAAGGGGGAACCTGGGAGATCCCCTCAGACCCCGCTTTCCTTTCAGCACCAAGGTTGAAACTAGGAGAGTTTTATTTCTGAACTGTCCCCAGGCCCCCTTTTTATAAAATTTGTTTTGAGACAAGGTCTCTAAGTTGCCCAGGTGGACCTCAGATTTGTGATCCTCCTTGCCTCAGCCTCCTGAGTCACTGTACTACAGGTGTGCATTATCATACCTGGCTAGCCTGGTCGAGTCTTGAAATGTCAGTGGCTGGGGTTTTGAGGAACAAGGGGGCCTGGGTTCTGCTGTCCTGCCACTGCCTAGCTTGTGCATTCTGGGCAAGTCCTATTGTTCTCTGGGCTTCATGAGGGGCCTCATGTGGTACTGGCCTGTCTCTGGGCCCTCTTGGCTCTCAATCTGTGACCCAGGAGGCAGGACCCCCACTACCCCCCGTCCTGGTGTCCCTGCAGCCTGCTGATGTTTTAGGTCTGCCTACAGCCTGTGTGCCTGGGGCCGAGAGGTGGCAGTATCTGGATGGGATCTTCCCGTGCCTTTCCTTTTGATTTAGATGTATTCTTGGCATTTGAACAAAGCCTCAGAAAGATATTAAGAGAGATGTCTGTCAAAACAGCCTCCCTCCTTGAAGGCTCTCTGTTTGAGTATGGACCTTAGATGCTGGGCCTCTGTTGAAGGAGGGCTGTGGGTTCTGTCTCTGGGCTTGCTGAGCACTGTCTTGGGGTTCCAGTGTGGGCAGCTGAGGAGCCAGTGGGAGACAAAGCTGTGTCAGCCCCCCTACTCCATCTTCAGTGCCTCATGGTCAGTTTGTTGGAAGGGGAGAGGGTGATGAAGGCAGGCCCTGGGCAGAAAAGGCAAGATCAAATAGATGCAGGGGTTGGAAATGCTGGAACTGGAATTTGCCTTATTTGCATAGCTGCTGTGTGCCAGGCACGTGCTCCACGCTCCACGGAGAGGGAGGAACAGTGGTGCAGAGACTGGTGTCTCGATGCAGGGCTCCCCGGTGTGTGGGTGGTGGTGCTGGAACGCAAGCCCGTGGTTTCCTAGCTGCTGCCGCCTGGGCTGAGGGCCAGGTGCACATGAGGACAGGACTGAGCTTCCAGGTGGGTCCTGTGTGCCTCCCCTTCTACCTGGGTCGGAGCATGGAGGATGATCTGAGCTGTAGTTTCACATGGTGTGGAGGGGTCTCTCCCCTGTTCACCCAGGAACAGGACTTTCCTGGTTAGAGTCCCAGCTCTACCACATGTCAGTTCATCTAGTGCCTTTGCTTCTCCAAGCCCCCATTTCCTGTCCTGACAACCCCAGTCTCAATTCTGCAGCCTGCATCCTCTTAAGGACTCCTCCTTTTAGAGGCCCTGGGCCTCCAGGGCGGTCTGCCCCCGGAGTGGGAGGTATGCAGTGAGTTACTATGGGACACAGCCACTTGGCAGAACCAGAGCTCGATAGCTGGTCATTTATCATCATCATCATCACTTGGAATTGATTGAAATGGGCGAATGAAGAAACCAGGCGGCTGCAATCGCGAGGACTGGAGAGGCTCCCTGAGAAGGAGCGGGGCGTGAGCCAGACTTCAGGACAGTGGCTCATGGCTGCAGCTGGTGTGGGGAGTGGCTTGGGGACCCAGCGGTCCTCGGGCCTGGTTTCCCATGTGAGTCTGCCCTGTGCTTTGGTCAGTGATATGGAAGGAAGTCCAGGGGGCTTGTGGGTCAGCTGGGAAGGGGCTGTGTCCATCCTCAGAGAAGGGCAGAGGCCACGCAGCTGTCCAGACCCAGTCATCAGGGACAGGCTGAGGGCGCAGCTTGTCACAAAAGCCCTGGGGCCTTCGGAAACCAGCGCAGCTGCCTGACTAGCGCACAGGCACAGGGCTGTGCTCTCAGAGGTGGAGTGCCCCATCTGGGGACAGAGCCGCGTGGTCCCCATG